GTGTGTGATAAAGCCCTGAGAGATGCCCAGGGTCACAAAGACAGGTGGTGGCAGAGAAGAGCCAGGAGCTAGGTCCCCCTGAATCCCAGCGCAGTGCTGTGAGGTCAAGTGGCCAGCATCCTGCCTGTCACCTGGACCATCCCGGGCAAGGTGTCTTCACAGGACAGCAGCTGCTATATGTGTCCTTTGAGGCAGTTAGGAGAGACTTTCCAAAAGGGAAGACTTCCCCCCCACCTTCATGTACCAAAACTCTTGAGTTTCCATGGTGACAGTCAAATTGCAAACCCATCTAAGAGTGAGCCAGGGGAAAAAAAAAGAAAAGCTGGCCTATCCCCAGAGAAGTGGGCATGCCTGGCGCTGGGGCTAGCCGCTGCTGAGGATGAGAGCTGAGCAGAGTGGGGCAGCCCTTCTGGGCCATGATGGGAAAGTCAGGGATGCCAGCTCCCCAGGCAAGGGGTCCTGGGTCTCAGGCTGTCAGGGTGGGGGAGGCGCCCCCTCCTCCCTGCCTCCTGGCAGAGCCCAGGTGAGTCCATTTGGTGACTCCTTTTTGGGAAGATGAGTGGGACAGTCTTCTCCCTAGTGTTTTCCCATCTTCGATCTGAAAAATCAGGCGTGGGCTGAATACAAGCACTCATCACCAAGCCATCCTAGACTCTCTTGGGGGAATTAGAAGGGAGAAATCAGCCTTCAGACACACAGAGTGTTTTGTTGAGGATGGAAGAGCAAGGGCCAAAAGATTGATGAGCCTCAAAGCTTCTTTAATAGACCTGGAAGATTTATGATCACAGCTGCTGGGCAGCAAGAAAGGTGGCAATCGGCAATCGAATGGCAAATTAGCCAAGGTGTGGGTTTTATGGTGACAGTCGGTGGGCGAGGAAGAAGAAAAACTTCTTCTGTTGCCGCCGGAGGAATGTGTGGGTAAATGGTGTTTGCACTGGGTCCTGCCCAGGGACATTCTCAGCAGGGTCTTCTTGGTGTGTTTCTTCCCCACTGACAGTAACCAAGGCCAGGCATGGACACTGCCGGCTTCTTTCTTTCAAGTAGAGCTTATTACAGTGGATTAGAATGGGATTGGGTTTGCACTACAAAGACCTCTAAACTGAGGCCTCTCCCCAGCTCAGAGTCGCAGACACAATGAGCAGGGATGCTCGGGCAAGGAAGGGAGGCGCAGCCCAAGGGGATGAGTCTTGTCGGTTGGCTGGTTCTCTGCCCTGTGACACCTTTGTAAGCTCAGTTGTCATCTGGAACTGTTCCCCCTTTCTGTGGCTGTGGGCATTTGCGGTCTGTAAAAGGAGACAAAGAAAAAGTCAGCTGCCTAAGTTGCCTAACTCGGGGAGGGCTTATTTTTTTCTAGAACTTGCACAACCTAGGCACATGGGGACTAGACAGCATGGTGCCAGAACTTGGCCTCCAAGTTTGGGACGCTTGGGACAAGACCTGCCCCTCACAACAAAAGCTGTTCTCCCGGTGCAACATGGCACAGTCTTCTTGCAATTTAAGCTCACTCTGGGACCCGCGTGACCCAACACTGCGCATGGTGCAAGATGACGGGCCAGAGAGGTGGGGGAAGAAGCAGGATAAATGAGCTTTTGCCACCGTAACCTGAGTCCCCAGGACACCCTCTCCCATCGGCTCCTTTAGAGCTCTTGGTATTTTGCGGCCTTGGTCACCTGCACAGTAGCGCCCAAGGACGCAGGCATTGTTTCAACCCTGGGGAGCTGCCTGTCCCCCACCCCCACTCCCCCCTGCCCCAGCCCCAGGCCCCCTCCCCTCTGGCCCCAGAATTATGAAGATCCTGCATGTTGAAGGAAGAAGGAAGACTGAACATAGAGGAGATGGAAGAATAACTACATTATGCATAAGCATCTCTGCTGGAGAGTGGGGAAGCCAGTTGGAGATCAATCCCAGCTCCCCTCAGGGACTCCCTTCTGCTTAACAGGCTGCCAGACCCCCTGCTGTGGGGGTGCACCACCCTCCCTGATTTCTTTGCAGCTGCTTCAGGGGAGACCCAGGGAGCTGCTCGCTGCCCCCTGCCCACCTCCCACTCCCTTTGTCGGGGGACCCCCAGGGTTGGTGCTTAGTCACCAAGTGAGTCAAAAATACGTAAATGCTTATAATACCAACACCCGTGAGGTCCAGTCAGTTGAGTCATGATCAAAGAAACCCCGTCTGGGACCTGCAAAGCAATTGCAAAATAAATCAGGCCTTTGCACTTCTCAGGTACTATGAAGGAGCATATGGACCTGAGCCCCTCTGAATCCCCAGCTCCTATTGATTCTACATCACAAAAGCCCACAAAGCCAAAGCAGAACTCTTTCTTGGGAAGGCCAGGAGGAAAAGAGAGCAGAAAAGGCAAAATCCTCGAGCAGCTAGAGGAAGAAAAAGCTGGGAACAATCACGTTAACATCACTGTCGCCCCACCCACGTGGGTCAGGCTGTGCAGGAGAAGCACGACAGCCTCTTTCGTGGTGCGCTTACACACACACACACACACACACACACACACACACACACACACACACTGAAAGCGGAGAGTGGCAGGAGAAGCACGACAGCCTCTTTCATGGTGCGCTTACACACACACACACACACACGCACTGAAAGCGGAGAGTGGCTGTAGCAGAATGCATAGGGCATCAGCCAGCCAGGTGCAGGTGATAGGGAAGGCTCCCTGGAGGAGATGGTGTCCAAATGGAGCCAGGAGAGGGGCGCCTGACTGGCTCAGTCAGTACAGCGTGCGACTCTTGACCTCGGGGTTGTGAGTTCAAGCCCCACATTGGGTGTAGAGATTACTAAAAAAATAATAAACAAAAAGGAGCCAGGAGAAGAGCCATGGCAGGGCATTCTGGGCAGTAGGAAGTGAGTTGCTGGAGGAGATACTGACCAGCAGTTTGGTAAGAACCCAGCCGTGTAGAGAAACCTGGGTAAGATTGTGCAGGATGGGGGCGCCTGGGTGGCTCAGTGGGTTCAGCGTCTGTCTGTCTTCTGCTCAGGTCATGATCTCAGGGTCCTGGGATCAAGGCTCCTTGCTCAGCGGGGAATCTCCCTCTCCCTCTGCTGCTCCCAAGCTCATGCTCGCGCTTTCTCTCTTTCTCAAATAAACAAAAAAATAAATAAAAGGTAGGCTAGGATTTGCATGTTAGCTGGAGCATTCCCCTCTGCGCAGAGAGAGGTGCCCACAGGTGGGGCCCGGATGGGAAGCTATTGAAGGAGTCCAGCCTGGAGACACTGAGGTCTTGAGCTAAGCAGGGACTGTGACCATGGTGAGGAGGCCACCGATTAGAGAACGACTTAGGAGGCAAAGCTGGCAGCATGTGGGGATGAGGGAGAGAGAAGAGCCAAGCAGTCATCAGGGCTTCTTCCCGAAGCGCCCTGTGTGGTACCAGACGCTCTGCTATGGAAGCATGGGGTGGAGAATCTCCTAGAGCTGGAACAGATGGCCAGCTCCATCCCTCTGGTTGCCAAATTCTGTGACCTGTGACTCCCTTTGCTGAAAGGTGAAGGCACAAAGGCTTTCCAGAAGGCCCTAGATCCAGGTAGAAGCTCTGTGGCCTGGGTCCTGCCCCTGCTGCTCCTGTACCCCAGTGGATTTCCCTACCTGACCAGACTCTCCTTCCTGCAGGGCTCCGGTGCTGGCTCCAGATCCTCCTCTGCACACTGCTCCAGGAGGGGCCTGGCCCATCACTTGAAGCCTCTTAGCCACCCTTGGCATAGACTGATTGGATTTCCGATCTCGTCTGCCACCCCACGGGTCCCTGGGGCACGGGGCTGATGGGTAGTAGTGCTGTCTGGGCAGCTGGCCCCGTGCCGGGCAGAGTGCCCAACTGCTCCTCCCCTCCCTCCGGACCCGGCACTTTGCACTCCCCGGCAAGGCACACGGACCCACGCCCCATCCACCGAGTCCGTCCCCTGTGAGAGCTCCTTACCCATGATCCCAGACCTTCCTGTGCTGTCGTACTTGGTATTAGAGTGACATCACTTAATTAAATATTACGTAAACTGATGAAAAGAGCCAGGAAGGACAGAGTTGTTTTCATTAAAACCAGGACTTCTAAAAGTCTTGAGAGAAGCTACTTGCTTAAAAAAGCTATTGAATCAGGTGTGGGCAGGACAACTGTAAAAAGCAGGAGAAAGAAATGGAAAAGCAGAGAAGGATCCTGTAGTCATCCCACTTTGCTTGCGTCTCTAAGCTGTGCTCCCATTTAGAGACCCTGCCCCTGGGGATCACAAACATGGCAGTATGGGCGCAGCTTAGACACGAAAGACCCTGTGGGCCCGATCTCAAGCAGCACCCAAGCCCTCCGTGAAAACGTGGGTGAATGGATGTACATTTCTATGCTGACAGAATGTTTAATCTATGAATATATCCTGTATTACGACTCCCACTGTTGACCCACCAGCCAAATATGGGTCCTGTTTAGTCCAGAAAAGAAGGTTTCTACCACAGAGGGTGTTCACCGGGAGAGCTCCCTGTCCTCCCCTCTCCTGGGACTCTAACCCCATCAGCCTGGCTCCCGTCTGCATTCACAAGGACCCACTGCACTTTACTGGATGAACTGGGATGAGCGCCCAGGCCTGCCGGCTCCCAGTTTCTTCCAGTAAAATCAGAGTGGTTGCAGACACAGGGTGTAGAGAGCCAGTCTGCCGGGGGAGTACCCCCAGCCCTCCCACTTACCACCTCGGGCAAGTGCCTTGGCTTCCTCACCTGTAAAATGAGCGCAACCCTGTCTGCCAGGGTTGTTCTGAAGCTTCAGTGAGCTAGCATATGTCAAGTGCCTGGAGTGCTTTATAAGGGTTGGTGAGGACCGGAAATTTTGTACCTGTGATGTTGTCCTGAGCATTGCCAGGTGCAAGCCTCAGAGCAGTTGTCCTGCACCCAAGGGGATAATCAGCCGCTTTGTCCCGGCAGAGGGGAGGCCTGCCCCAGCCCCTCTATCCCACGTGCCCGCTGGTAGTGACCGGTAGGGGTAACCTCCTGTGCTGGTGTCTGTTCTTTCCAGTGGTTTCCAGTGACAGTGACAGTGACAGTGACTCGGATCTCAGCTCCTCTAGCCTGGAGGACAGGCTTCTTCTGACGGGGGTCAGGGAACCCAAAGCTACCAAGCCCTGCGGGGAGGCAGGTAAGCAGAGCAAGGATGCTACTTGTTCCCGAAGGAAGCAGATGGCGTGGCTGCTTCCTCCAATCGTGGCTCCCCAGCTGGTGTCGACGGGAGGGGTGGGGCCCCGGGGCTGGGATGACCAGAAGCTAAGCATTAGCACCACTGCAGAGCAGGACAGAAAGGGGGCCCAGATGGATGTGCAGGGGTGGAGGGGGGAGGGCAGATCTAGCGCACCTGCCTACACACCTGGAATTCCTCCTGAGGCTCCCTGTGAGCCTCCCCTGGATGAGATTTTGTCTCGTGAATGATGAGAACTGTGAACATCAGGTAGTAAGTTCCTTGGGCTTGCTCAGCTCTGCCGTGAAACCATGGTGGGACCCTGAATACATACCTTGACCTCTTGGGCCTCTGTTTCCCTCTATTTAGCACAAATGGGATGGAGCAGGTGGTCCCCAAAGTGTCTTAGAGTTTGAGCTCTCCTCTGTGACCTTGTCTTATGAATGAACGGGACCTGGAGGCTGGTGCAGAGAAGGCCTGGGGGCACATTTTTCTTTCCTTTAAACACACGAAGGGCCTTCCTGGGAAAAGGACCAAATCATTCAGAGTTACTCCAGAGGTTAGAACTGGGTTTTTGAAAAACATTTCAGGGACGCTGATTTTAGTGCATAAGCAGAGAACTTTATAATAACTGTCCCGGACTAGAAGGACATGCCTCGGGGTGCTGTTCTGGGACCAAGGCAGGGTGATCTGCCGGAGCTGACATGGAAGGAATTCCCAGTGGGGATGGCAGTTCAGGCTAGATCGGAGATGGCAAATGCCTGGCGCATGTACTTCCGCTTCCACTCCTGTGCCCGTGGCAGACATTACTAGCTGATCGCAGTACTCTCCCACAGAGCCGGACGTGGCCTCAGAATCCTCCTCAGCACAGTTTTCCAAGTGGTCAGTATCAGTAGGTGGAGACCGTGCAGGACATGATGCTGGTTTCTGGACTAGATGATCTGTTAGGCCTCTCAGCCTAAGGATTCTATCTTAGAAAAGTATAAAGGAAATTCACCTGCCTGCCTTGGTTTCCAGGGCAGGTTTTATACACCCCCCTGCCCCCCCGCAGAGCTCTTGAACCCTCCCTCACACCAGCTTTCAACTATGACCAGGGGGACGTGGGAGATTTCAGGCACCATCTCTGCACTCTCGGCTCGGCTCAGTAACAGCTATACCTGAAGAAAGATTCCTTAGTTAATAAAGGCAGCAATTAATAACCCCATTGGGGGGGTGCCTGGGGGGCTCAGTCAGTTAAGTGTCTGCCTTCGGCTCAGGTCATGATCCTGGAGTCCCGGGATCGAGTCCCGCGTCAGGCTCCCTGCTCGGCGGGGAGTCTGCTTCTCCCTCTGACCCTCCCCCCTCTCATGTGCTCTCTCTCTCTCATTCTCTCTCTCTCTCAAATAAATAACGAAAATCTTTTAAAAATAACCCCATTGGGGGGGCACTTGGGGGCTCAGCCAATTGGGCGTCTGCCTTTGGCTCATGATCTCAGGGTCCTGGGATAGAGCCCCTTGTCAGGCTCCGTGCTCATTGGGGAGTCGGCTTCTCCCTCTCCCTCCACCCTTCCCCCCTACACTCGTGCTCTCTCTCTCAAATAAATAAAATCTTAAAAAAAAAAACATTGGGGCACCTGGCTGGCTCAGTCCGTAGAGCATGTGACTCCTGATCTCGGGGTCAAGTTCAAGCCCCACATTGGTGTAGAGACTACCTAAATAAACAAAAAAACAAACTTTTTAAAAAATTGCATTGGGTTAATGGAGATACACACCCTTCTCCCTCATTCTATGAAGGCAGGAAAAACCCCTCCTCGTTGCTGGTTTTCATGCTGGTGACTTGTTCTTTACTGAACTGACTTGAAGGCCTATGCAGTGACCTTCATATATCCTGGACCAGTCAGCATTGCTCAGAGGGTAGGATCTCTCGAGAACGTGGCAGCCATGTGGGGGCAGCCGGTAAGTGGCTCTGAGCAGACAATCCCATAGATACCTACTACAGTTCCAAATGAGATTTGATTTTCTTACCTGTTTATTTTTAAGTAGACCACGCTCAGCATGGAGCCCAACACGAGGCTCGAACTCACTGTGAGATTGAGACCTGAGCTGAGATCGAGAGTCAGACGCTCAACCAGCTGAGCCACCCAGATGCCCCCCAAATGAGAAGATTTTAAATCAGCTCCTTATCAGGCTGAGATCATCCCTGTCTCAGTTCAAGGTCCAAAGAGCCCACACATGGTCTCTTGCAGGTGGCAGCATGGGGTCTCCCAAGATGGGCCCCACCTGCCGGCCCAGCCACCTCTTGGGGAGCCAGAACAGCCTGGCCAGTGAGACCGGGACCGGCTCTGCAGACCCACAGCCAGGCACCCCACCCTGGCCAGACCCAAAGAGCCCCGGTGAGTACCAAGCTGCCCTTCTAACCCACCCACCTCTCCCTCTTCTGCTTCCCCATGGTCCTCCCTCACTCAATCCACCCAAACTGGAGAGTGCTAGGTGATGTTTACAATTCTGTTTATTGAGTGCTATGCCGGGCGCTGGGGGATCCGACGTGAGCCAGACCCCACCCCTGCCTGCAATGAATGGAGAGAGGGACCCCAGATAATCATGACAACCACCCCATCCATTCCTAGTAATCATAATGATGGTTCTTACCAACCTCTGCTTTGTGAAACGTGTCATCTTTCAGAGCATTTCCCCATCTCCAGGAGCCTTAGTAACTCCTGTTTCAAGAGTACCTACTGTGCGCCAGGCCACCCAGTCCTCACCGAGCCCAATCGTGTGCTCAGCCCGAGCAGGTAGGAGACAGTCCGTGGCCTTCAGAAAGGTCGCCTACCTACCACTACCTACCATGTGGCTGAAGAAGCCGCATCAACTCACCCAGAACAGCCCAGACCTAAATCAGCAGGAGAATTCAGGACCACTGGAGCTGGCTGCGTGGAGCCTCGCCCGCCCTCGAACTTCTAAGGGCCACTTGCGTTCTATTGGAGCAGTAGATGGGAGGCTTCTTATCCCCTTTTGATGGGTGTGGAAACCAAGGGCAAGAACCCAAGCTCCACCCTGCTGTGCCCACTGTCCCTACCTGGCCAACTTTGGAGCATCATGCAAGGGGGGCAGGCAGGGTGAAGGACCTCAGTCCTGCCCCCAGTCTCCTTCAAGAAAGAAGCCCCAGCTGGACTTGGCATCTCTGGGCCAGGGCCTGTGGGCATGCAGCGCATGCGTGGATCAGCACAGCAGCTGACCCGCACCCCCCACTGGTAGGCTGTGTGTGCTGGCAGCGCCCCCCCCACGGGGAAGCCTTGTGGGAGCTCTCACCCACTCCCTGTCTTCCCTCCTCCCCTTTCTCCTGCCTCGATGGTGCCAAGAAGCTGCAGGGCAGAGCATTTGAGAGGCCATGGGTGGGCAGGTCTCTGGGAGAGGGAGGCCCTGTCTGTGGAGTGGATCCTCTCCCCTCCTTCTGGCCTCCTGAAATCCCCCGCAGAGGACAGTTTGGAATCAACCACATTTTAATCCCAGCCCTGCCACCCACAGACATGTGAACCTGGGCAAACCATCAGATTCAACCATATAAAATTGCCTTTTTATAGATCAGAAATAGATATTGGCATCAATATGACTCAACCTAATATTTGATCTCTCTGCACCCAGTTCCATTATTGCTAAAGTGGGGACCACACTGTGTTCCTTGTGGGTTGGGGGGAGTGTGAAGTGCAACATTCTTGGGGAGTGCCTGCCCTAAGTAGGTCTTCAGCAAATATCCGGTAACGGGAGAGGCCATGTGGCCCAGTGCATAGAAGGGGTCCCAGAGCTTCTGAAACAAGCTGAGGAAAGTTTTCTATTCCCACACCATTCCCAAAGTTCAGGCTGTTGCTGGGGAGGGACCCTGCCTCTACTTACCCTATAGTGGCCTTTTTTTTCCTATCCCCTAAAGGCAAAAGGCACACCTGGGCAATTCCCCGCTGCTGACATGGCCTCCGAAGGCCCCGTCTGCCTGCCCTGGCAGAGACATGTTTGGTGCATGGAGCAGACTTTCCAGTGGAAGAGTTCGAGAGAGAAAGAAAACTGGGAGGGTCTGGTGAGCAAGCAGTCTGGAGCCCTCAGCTGGCCAGCCCTATTGGACATGACCTCTGACTCAACAAACCAGTGTTTGGGGGGCTGAGTCTCCTTCCTCCACTCAGTGCCTTTCTGCCCCTTCTCTTCTGGGAGCCCTCCCCCAACCCCCCACCACAGCCATTCCACTCAGCCATGACCTTTATTTATTGTCCTTCCCCCGCACCCTCCCTCAGTCTACCTCCATGTTCATTTTAAGTTTGCTCTTGTCTTGGGTTGGGCCACAAAGGCCTGCAGACCATGTTATGGGGCCCTCCCATATGCACTGCAGTTTTGGAGGGCACTGGGCTGGGCTTTCTCCATATTTGGATTAATGGAAGAAGAACCCAACCCTGAACATTGCCCTTCAAAGCTGAGCTTGGCCCCTAGAGATGAGCAATGGGTCCTAGAATGTGCGGGATGAGTGGCTCACCCATCCTTCCCTCTGCCGAGGGCTCTGGAAGCAGGAGCAGCATCCTCCCCTTGTTTGAGACTGGCTCAGGAGCTGTTGGCAAAACCTGGCCCTTGCTTGGGTTTCTTGGAACCCCTGTGACGCCCTCCCCAGGTTCAGTTCAGCCTCTCCCCAGCCTGTGGAGCTGGGAAGGGCTCTGGTGGATACCGTGAATTCACTCATTGAAGAGCAGCGTTCAGCTGCGTCCCCAGCTGGGGTGCAAGGCTCCCCTAAGCCTTTAATTCACTTCTCTTCAGTAGGTTTGGTTTGGCATGAAAAATAATTAATTCAGAGTGTGAGCAGATGCTTCTGGAAAACCCTTCCCTGAAGACAGAGATTGAGTGAGAGAGAGAGAGAGAGAGAGAGTGTGTGTGTGTGTGTGTGTGTGTGTGTGTGTGTATTGGTGTCCACATCTGCCCATCCTGCCACTCTCCCACTGCCCCTCGCACCTGGTCCTTGAAGGGCCTTCTCTCTGGGCTCTCAGGCCCCCACCATTAGGTTTTTTGCCCTTGCCACTGGCAGATGGTAAAAAGACTGTTTCCCTGTGACAAGTTATGCTTCAGAATTGTAACAATAAAGATTAGAATTTGCATTGAGCCAGTGTGTTGATCCAAAGACCACAGTCACTTGTGTTTCTGAGATGCATCGATTAGAGAAATGGATGGAAAAGAATGTAGTCTGTTGATCACGGGAACACTCCCTAAGCCATGGTGAAAGGAATGAGCTCGATCTCTGTGTGATAGAACTCACAAACCTCATGTTAAATGGAAAAACAAGGCCATTTATGCTTAGAAAAAAATTTAAGTATACATGCAAATAATCAAAATGAATTGTACGAACTTCTATCCACAGGTGTGAAAATGCTTGTAAAATGGACAGGCACTTGTGGTTCAATACAGTGGACTGGAGACGTTTGTATTTCCTCTGCTCCCCCAAGCCCCACCAGGATGACCTAAAGGAATGAAATGGCATAAGTTACAAAGCCATAGAGGAGAGGGATGGCAGCGGAGAGGAGACAGGTCTGGAAACTTTGGGAGATGGAAGAGTACGCCTCGTTCAGTGTCAGCTTCCCCAGCTCCCCAAAATGTCTCCAAGGGAGAAAGGCAGCCATGAACAAGCCCATTTGCTTTGCAGAATCCACCAAATTCTCAGAACTTGGAGGGGCCAGGTGCCCCTAAGATGGAGGTTAGGATGGGTATGAAAATAGTATTGGTGGGAAGAAGTTAGATCCCCAAGTCCCTCCTCACCGCCCACACGGCCCTTCCCTGACCCTGGTAGACCCTAGTAGACCCAGGTTTACTGCTGGCCAAGGGTGAACTAGAAGGATTTGGTACTGAGGCCCCCAAGCCCAGCCAAAGGCTGGAGTGAGGCAGCGGTTAATGGAGAGACCCTCTGCCCCCTCCCCGGCTAACAGCTGGCTTATTCTCCATCCACCTGCCCCCGAGGTAAGATGTTATTCAGCCTGTCACTGGGGAACTGACTGAATTGAAAAGACTGAGAGATCCTAAGGTTGGCAATTCCCGCTTCTCTGCCCAGTTCCCCCCACCCCCGCCGTGAGGCCCCCTGTCCACAAGCCCTGCCCATGTGGACAATTTCTAGTAGCCTGGCTGTGTGGTACTCAGCTGGAACAGCCAAAGGCACCAACAGTTGACCGAAACCAACAAACCAAAAATAGAGATTCCAAGACACAGGAGAAAGGGGTCAGGGAACAACCCTCCGAAGATATTCACCCATGAAACAGGAAAAGAATGTTAGTTAGTTATAGAGAGAGAGAGAGAGAGAAAGCAAGCAAGTGGGGGGAGGGGCAGAGGGGAGAGGGAAAATCTTTTTTTTTTTTAAATAAAGATTTATTTATATATTTTAGAGAGAGAGAGAGATGGAGCAGGAGGGCCAGTGCAGGGAGAGGGAGGGAGAATCCTCAAGCAGACTCCGTGCTGAACACAGAAGCCAATGCAGGGGGCTCAGTCTCATGACCCTGAGATCATGACCTGAACTGAAATCAAGAGTGTTATTTTTAAAAAAAGAAGTGTTAAAATCAAATTAAAAAGAAAGTGTCAAGTCTCTTGAAAATTAAAAATATAATAGCAGAATTTAAAAATGCGTTAGAGGGGCGCCTGGGTGGCTCAGTCCATTGGGCGTCTGCCTTCAGCTCAGGTCATGATCCCAGGGTCCTGGGGTCGAGCCCCACGTCAGGCTCCCTGCTCTGCAGGGAAGCCTGCTTCTCCCTCTGCCCCTCCCCCTGCTTGTGCTTTCTTTCTATCTCTGTCAAATAAATAAATAAAATCTTTAAAAAATAAATTTAAAAACTAAATAAAAATGCCTTAGAAGGAATGGAAGATGAGAGAAGAATCTCCCAGGAAGTAAAACACAAAAAGAGATGTAAGCGTATGAGGAAAAAGTCAAGGAAGTTGGACGACCCAAAGGTAAGACCCATGCAGAATGTCCAACTCCCAACTGATAGGCATTTCAAACCAAGAAATAAAGGGGAGAAAATTGTTGAAGAAATTATCTCCATCACCTGAGGTCTTGCTGAAACAGGCTCTCGCTCGTGGGGCCTGGGCCAGGGGCTGCGAGCGTACGTGTAACCAGCTGCTGGCTGGAGGACCACACTCGGAGTAGCACCGGTGTGGGCCAGTGGTAGTCACCACTGGCCAGGCATCGGAATTACCTGGGGAGTTTGACAAGCACATCACACCCGACACCCTCCCCTCAGACACCCTGAGATTCTGGCTTCATCAATTTGGGGCTCAGCCTTGACATTAGGATTCTGCAAACCTCCACACATGACTCCCATGTGCTGGCAGAAGCAGGAAGCATTTTCATACAGAAGCTCCTCGGAGTGGGCTCCAGGAGAGGTATACGGTGTTGAGAGCAGTACCTTTTTATTAGCCAAAAATTGGAAACACTCTACGTAGCATCAACAGAAGAAGAGATACATAAGCGCTGATAAGGTGTAGTCAAACAATGGAATGTGCTGGTGGAAATGAGTGGGTACTTCCGGCGTAGATGACTCTCATGAACGGCCACAAGCAAAGAAACGGCAGAAAAATACATGCTTTATGACACGGTCTATATCTAGATTTTTAAAACGGGGAGAAAGGACATATATTAACATTTTATGCACCGAAAGAAGAAATGCACAGGAAGGGCAAACAACAGATCTCAAGGCACATCTCGAGAAGAGAGGGCCGGTTAAGGAGGGGTTTCGACGTGTTGGTGATGTTTCAGTGTCACTGATGGATAGATGGTTTTGCAACATTTATATCGTAATATTTCATTATATATTATATTCGCATTATTTTTATAGGTCTGAAATCCTTCAAAATAAAACCATTTAAGGAACTATAGCAAGCCTTCTTATCATAAAGTTTCAGGATCCCAGGATTAAAAATCCTAAAGGGAAAAAAAAAAAAAAGCAACAAGTCACATACCAAGGATCAGGGATGTTAAATGGCATTGAAATTCTCAAAGATTTTTTTACTTTTTTTTATTTTATTTTTTTAAAGATTTTATTTATTCATTTGAGACACAGAGATACAGAGAGAGAAAGCATGAGCAGTGGGAGAGGCAGAGGGAGAAGCAGGCTTCCCGCCGAGCCAGGAGCCCAATGTGGGGCTTGATCCCATGACCCTGGGATCATGACCTGAGCTGAAGGCAGACGCTTAACCATCTGAGCCACCCAGGTGCCCCTCAAAGATTTTTTAAAAAGATTTTATTTATTTGTCAGAAAGAGAGAGAGCACAAGCAGGGGGAGCATCAGGCAGAGGGAGAAGCAGGCTCCCCGTTGAGCAGGGAGCCTGATGGAGGACTCGATCCCAGGACCCTGGGATCATGACCTGAGCCGAAGGCAGATGCTTAACTGACTGAGCCACCCAAGCGCCCCTCTCAAAGCAGATTTTGAAGTAATATTCTTCTGAATTCTTTTTTTTTTTTTTTCTTTCCTTCTGAATTCTGATAGGAAACGGTTTCTGGTCTTGATTTCTATCCAGCCAAATCTCAGTGATGGTCGAATGAAGATATTTTCAGACATGTGAGTTTTTTAAAAAATTGACCTCCTATACGTTCATTCTCAGGCAGCTACTAAAGGGTGTGCTCCAACCAGACAAGGGAAAAAAACAGGAAAGAGGAGAGCAGGGACTGGAAACTGGAGATCAACACAGGGGAGGGGCAGAGAGAGTCCCCAGGACGATGGCAGTGGCTGTGTGGCTGGGCTAGAGGCCAAGGCCAGCCGGCCCAGACTGGAACATGAGCACAGAGAAGGTATATAAGGGTATACAAAAGGATAAGAAGCATATGTGTGTTGGGGAGAATATATATGGTATGATATTTTATTTTATTTTTATTTTTATTTTTTAAGATTTTTTATTTGTTTGACAGAGAGAGAGACAGCGAGAGAGGGAACACAAGCAGGGGGAGTGGGAGAGGGAGAAGCAGCCTTCCCGCCCAGCAAGGATATGGTATGATATTTTATATTGTGATATATATAATAGGTAATACCGAAAAATCAAGAAATCGAATCAGTATGAAATTTCGGTAGGAAAGTGAATACCAGCAGAGCGGTTAGGGGTTCAAAGGGTTGCCAAGAGAAGGACGTGAGCAGGCGCAGGGGTTGCTGCCCTACGTTATAAGCTTTGGAGGACGGTTGCCCTTATTTCAACAGTATACTCCATCACATTTCTAACACTGAGCTCTTTTTATTTTTTTTTATTTTTTTTTTATTTTTTTTTTTATTCATGAGAGAGAGAGAGAGAGAGGCAGAGGGAGAAGCAGGCTCCCAAGGAGCAGGGAGCCCGATGTGGGACTCGATCCCAGGACCCCGGGATCATGACCTGAGCCGAAGGCAGTCGCTTAACCAACTGAGCCACGCAGGCGCCCACACTGAGCTCTTTTTAAAGGAAAAAAACATATCAAACTCAGGATGAAGCCACAGGGTAGGAGTGAGAATCCTGAGCCATAACAGGTGAGGGAGAGGGAGCGAGGAGGACCTGCGGGGCGGAGAAAATACAACCCAGATCCCGGCCTGTAAGGGCTGTTGCCCCTGCTTCCCGGCTGTAGAAGGAACCCCCCTTAAACCTCTCAGACCCAATGCAGCACAGGCCCCCAGACTCAGTGCCCACCAGACCCCTGTGCTGGGGCCAGACCCAGTCCCGGGGAGGGACCCGATCCTGCAGTCCCCAGGGTAAACGCCAGATGCGTTTCCCAGAGACATGTCCCAGGGTCGATGAGGTTCTGAAGCAGTTTCCTCATGAGTTAATCCTGGAAGCCCTCAGCTTTAGGCAGGAGGTGGAATATGGATGTCCCCCCAAGGGGTCCGGAAGCTGCCAGGAGTCAAGGGCTATTTGTGGTCTGGTCTGGGAACTGAGAAATCTTTTTCTTACAAAAATGCTTTCCAAGTCTCAAGCAGGCAAACTTACAAATTAACTTTTGGAGCTGAGCCTTTCATGGCAGGGGGTGAAGAATGTTGTGTCATCTGCAAAAATCAGGAAATACAGACATGACCTGATTTGTCCCCAATACTGGATAACCCAAGTAGTCCCTAAAAGAGATAGCAGGTGGAGAGCTCATAAAGTTTGGACACCTCATGTCAAATCCCAGCTCCACCACTTAGTACCCGAAATTATGGGTACATCTCTGTGCCTCAGTTTCTTCAACTATAAAATGAGAGAGTACTTCCTTCACAGGACTATTGTGGAAATTCGAAACCTGAAAGCACGTGTAAAACTCTTACCACTGCTATTAGTTATGACTCCCGTAGGATTCAGACGTGGTGCTTGCCTCAGAAGATGTTCAGATGACGTAAGAACATGAGGGCAGGGCGCCTGGGTGACTCAGTTAAGCATCTGACTTCAGTTCAGGTCGTGATCCTGGGGTCCCGGGATCGAGTCCCGCATCGGGCTCCCTGCTCAGCAGGGAGTCTGCTTCTCCCTCTCCCCACCCCCAACTCGTGTGCATACGCGCGCTCGCGCTCTCTCGCAAATAAATAAAATCTTTAGAAAAAAAAAAAAAACCATCATGGGTGGGCACTATCTGGTGAGCCAATCACCTGCTATCAACTTTGGGGATCCTCACCCATCTATGAGGCAGATCTTTCTATTGTTCCCATTTTAAAGAAGAGGCAACTGAGACCCAGAAGGGTCAAAAGAGCCCAGATTGGAATGCAGGGCAGTTGGATGCCAAAGACCATGTTCAGTGCAGGGTGGCAGTTTGCCGGTGAATCAGGATTCCGAGGGCCAGGGGGAGCCAAGCACAGGTAAAGGGCAGCTGGGCTGTCAGCCGCACAGGTCCAAACTTCTAGATAAATAGGGTAAAGTCAGCCCGTTTTCCCACTGGGACATTTTCCCACTGCTAATGTAATAAATGAGAATAAG